TTTCATGAAATTTGAAATTACCCTAGCGGGCTTAAGCATGAAATATTATTCTGATTGTTTTCCTACAACTCTCATTCAATAGACTGAGCACTTACCTGGGACCTATTTTTTTATAGCAAATATTTTGTAGCAAATATTGTAGAACACAATGGAAAGCAAGGAGATATTTTGTTTCTACCCTCCCAGACTCAATTACCCTTCTCCTATTTCTTAAACCTCCTTCTTTGTTACCCCCACCCCTCAAACTCACACATAAATAAATGCACAGTCTACCCCTCAACTCCACTCTTAGCCTTCAAGTTCAAATTCTTTTTCAAAATGTGGTTAAGTACTATACATGATGACAAAATGAGAAAGGGAGAAGGGTGTTTCCTGCAGTGCTTTCCACATCCTCTGAGCTGAAGGAAGTCTATCATCCTTGCCTTTTGTCACAAAACTCAATACAGTAAAAGGGTTTATAAATTCATTCTCCTAAGATCTCTAGATATCTATAAAAGTAATCTGGTGTTTACATATTAAAAACCCAAAGGCTGGGCTGGGGTTGTAACTCAGTGGTAGAGTGCTCATCGAGCATGAGTTCAGTTCTCAGCACTGCATATAAATAAGCTAATTAATTAATTAAAGGTCCATCAATGACTAAAAAATATATATTTAAAACAATTGGGGGCTGGGGTTGTGGCTCCGTAGTAGAACACTCTCCTAGCATGTGTGAGGCACTGGGTTCGATCCTTAGCACCACCTAAAAATAAAGGTACTGTGTCCACTTACAACTAAAAATGTATATTAAAAATTTTTAAAAACCCAAAAGCTAATTATGTTAACCAATTTTTTCTAAATTTCAGTTTCCTCATCTGTCGGATACATAGTGATGTACAGAAAAGCATTTGAAAAAATGCAAAGGACCATGTAATAAAGGTACCACTATAATTGTTAACAAAGATAATAGAATATGAAAGAATAAAGAGTGCTAGGTATAAAGTAAACTGATATCAACTGAATGAGCAAATCTTAAAGAATGTTTGCTTTAATCTTATATACAAAATAACTAAAAGGGAAAAAAATCACGGAAGATGACTGTTGGGCTTAATTTTATCCCTTTTACAATGCAAATTAAACCCTTATATCAAATAATAAAGTTTTAAAATGTCATCTTTTTACTGTAAAAATGGAAAGAATAATTAAAATATTAATAATTTCACTGGCAGACAGGATAAACAAGGGTTCAGGTAAAACCTCAAACACTGCTGGTAGAGGTGTAACAATCCAACATTATATAGGGGAAATGAATGCATTTCAAGAGACTTAAAACATGCACTCACATCCATTCCACTTCTTAGAATTTATATTAGTGAAAAATGTTTAAAGTGAACATTCTTCTATTTATAAAAAGGTAGTTATGAAAATGCCCATCACAATATTGTTTAAAATAGAGAGTAAAGCATAGAATCAAGAATGTAGTATCTACAGTCACTGAACTTCTGGATGCACATCCTGGCTTTGTTACTGGTCACTGAGACCCTGGACATACTTTTCAATTTCCACGTTTGTAAAATGCAAGTGATAACAACAACCTGTTCTATGAGGTTGCTGTGTCTATTTAATAAAATACAGTGGAGGCATCTGGGCATACTGAAAGTACTCACATGGTGAGACAATCAATGGATGTGTAACTGATGTGATTCTGCAATCTGTATATGGGGTAAAAATGGGAGCTCATAACCCACTTGAATCAAATTGTGAAATATGATATATCAAGAACTATGTAATGTTTTGAACAGCCAACAATAAAAAATTTAAAAAAAAAATAAAAAAAATAAATAAATAAAAAAGAAAAATTAGAAACCACCTGCATATTTAATGCATCATCTCATCCAAAGCAATATTATCTATCTTAGTCCATTTGGGTTGTTGTAACAAAATACCTTAGACTTGGTAATTTATAAAAAATAGATACTTACTGCTCATAGTTCTAAGGCTAGCTCATAGTTCTAAGGCTAGTTCAAGGTACTAAGTGTATTGCAACCTAATGATCAAGGCGTCAGCAGATTCAGCATCTGTTCAGGGCACACTCCTCATAGATGGCAACAGCTATGCATTCTCACAAGGTGGAAAAACAAAGAAGCAAAAGAGCTCCTATGTGTCTTTTTTTTAAGGGAACTAATCCCATTTATAGGGGTTCTGCCCTCATTACCTAGTCACCTTCCAAAATTCTAACCTCTAAAAACCACTGCATTACAGATTGTTACAACATATTAATCTAGAGGTGGGGTACATTTAGACCATAATACTATATATCAATTATTACAGATGAATATATGACTTGGAAAGATATTATTATAAAAGGGGAAAACAGGCTATAAAATAATATTACATGATTGAATACTAGTAGATGTTTACTAGACATTAATCAGTGTACCTAAACTGTTTTTGACTCAGATCCATTTCTTTGTCTAAAAATGCAGTTGTATTTCAAAAGAGCAAACGTCAAATATGCTAATCTCAGTTTTTTCACCTCCTGTGTTGGGCACAACTAAGAATTTTTCTTGTGCTAAAATATTTTGGTACTCAGTGTATTGCAACCTAAATGACTTGTTATAATAAAACAGAAGCATTTCTTTACTAACTGGTAAAGTCCTCCATGCCATAAAAAATGTCCTAAGATCCCATGTAATCTCATAATTCTACTACAGTAATTATATACATAATATACCAAGAAATATTACAGCTATCAGCTTTCAAATGCCTAAAATACTTTTTAAAGTCTGAACTATGATTCTATCTAACAATGTTTTCTTAGAGGATATGCAAAACAGATGTTCTTATTTATAAGTATGGAAGTATATGGAATTTTAAGAATGACATTTGTAAAATGTAAAATTACTGCTGTTAGTGCTACCTCATTCTAACAAGAATCACTTAAGGAGTATTGACTGCTATTGATATTGAATAGAATTCTTAGTATGCATTGCAAAAATGTTATTCTACCTTCTTCAGTGTATGAATATCTTAATACCTAAGAGAGAACTACTTTTTACCCAGGTCTTTCTACTCTTAACAATAAAAACAAAAGCTGTTTGACCAACCCCAATTTCAGGCAAATAAATACCTACATGCTTATGTTGAATATTACTAACATGGAAAAACTTCAATGTTTCCTAATGTTTTAAAATTAGCACCTTTGACTTCCACCATAGAAGCGAAAGAATGGCCATATGCTGCTGATAAGTGTCCCTTTCTTAGTACTCTATTATCTATCTCTTGTCATTATTAACACTTTAATAAGCAGGATATATAAATCACAAATTTCATATCTTTGAACCTTCAACTTTGGAGCTCATCTCTGAAACTAAAAGAGTGTGACAATGTGGTTTGTTACATGAAAAAATGTTGTACAGATTCAGTGGGTAAGTGAGCACAGGAAAAAGTAAGAAAAAGAATACTCACAGACATCTCCCAAGCTAAAGGATGCCGATTATATTCAGCTGAGAAATGCTATAAAGCTGCTAATCATGCTGAGTTTGGCTAGACTACAGGTGCTTTCCTTGACATCCTGGAAAAGTTAAGCTGATGTCACCACTTCATGTCTGGGACAGGTAGACAAGAACCCAGGAAGATTAGCATCAATCTCACAAGATCAGATAGAGTGACTTTTGGCTATGTTCTTTTGTTTTTGGTCAAAAAGAATTCCAACTGGAGTTACAAGTTTAAAAAAAACAAAAAGCAAAACAAGCAAGCAAAAAAAAAAAAAAAAAAAAAAAAACCTAGAAAGTTCTTTTCCTCCTTTTCCCATAATGAACTTAGTTTTGTTGCTTCTGGTTTGAGGCAGATTGTTAGGTATGTCCACGTGACTGCTTTCTGGTTGCATTTATGATTACTAGGATGGAATTACAAATACTCCAATATTACTTCCAGTCCTCAGCCAGATGTGAATCTGCCAAGTTAAACAAAGACTTAAACTTAAGATTCTCAAAATTTTCTCTTGTTACCTTTTGTCCCAATAAGGAGTGAATACTGATTAAGTTATTTAAATATAAAAATTAGTGAGAGCAGCATTACTCACTTCTATAATTCAGAGAAAAGATCCAGTACCATGGAGAATCGAATACTAGGGTTTAAATTTGAGCTCTAAGGACCACAATCCCAGATAGTATTCACTAGGGAGAAAAAGTGAAGACTCCTTGTTTAGGAACTCCAAATACTTCCAGTTTACTTTTTTGTCCCCGGGGAAATATATTCTTAAAGCCTCTATTTCATTTCGGGATTGGGAATACCCTGTAGGTCATTTTGAAAAATGTTTTTTTTCTTCATATTAAAAGTGTATTACCTAGTTTAAAAGAGACTATTTGCCAAATTAGATGTTTTCATGTGTTCTTTTGTTGAATGAGTACAATCATCTACAAATGAGTTTCCTATTAGAACGCACTTACAACACAGCTCAAAACAAAATGACTTTTTTAAGTTAAGAGTAGATTTTAAAGACATTAAAAACAACTTATTGCTGAAAACACACACAAAAAAAGGACAAATTGGTTGAAAGTTTCACAAGAATGGAAAATGTTTAATAAACTTAGAATGGCGGGCTTATTAAACTATAGTGTTATTTACAGCCATAATTCATCAACCACAAACACCAGAGTGTGTTTGCCTGGCATGCTGCAACAGAAGCTTTACTCCCTTCATTCAGAAAACACTGGCAAAATAATTTCAGTTGCAAATTCACAGATACAAGCTTCAAAGTATAAAGTTGTATATAACAAAAAAAAAATACAGGTAATATTTATAACAATAACTTACAGATACAAACTAATGATAAACTACAATTTCACAAAAGATTGTAAACATTTTGCACATTTGTCAGTCCTTTCTTTTAGGCAAAGTGCTCTTTTGATGACAAATAAATTAACAGATACACACTAGAGTGAACTATTTCCAGACAATACAAAAAAAACATGTTTTGTTTTGTTTTGTTTTCTTCTTGTAAACATAAGTTTTACAAAAAAAAAAAAAAAAAAAAATGAAGAATAAAAGTGTCTTGCAGGCCAACTATAGATACATACCTGGGCAGCAAAGTGATGTTGGAAATGCTTTTGGTGTTAAATAAAAAAATTAACATTAATATCTTTTCAATGATATTTTATACATAATAAATGACAAGTTACATCCTTAATCATTTCTATCCCTGAAAAAAGAAATTAGGTATGACTTATTGGCAGTTGTGTCATTGAATGGGGTAACAAAGGCTGGAGTCCAAGAGTTGTTGGTGAATGAGCTACAAAATAGAAATAGAAAGAAATTTGAGGATCAGGTTTTTTTTTTTTTTTAAGCGTGAATAAAACTGATTTAAAAACAAACAAAAACAATTCAAAGCAATGTGTTTTCTTCATGCATTACAGCTGAGGGCACCAAGCTATACTCATTCCACAGACCTCAGCAGGAACAGTAACTTATTCAGCATAGTGGTACTGTATTGAACAAGAATCCATTTTACCCCTAAAATATTTATTGGGGCCACAAGCTTTTGCCACTGTAATGTACTCCATCCATACCCCATTCACTGCACTTTACACTGTAGCTAGAAAAACACACAGCTTTTTCTGCAGAGATGTTGTTGGTTTTAACATGCAGGAGTCTGTACAGGATGACCTCCCAAGTTCCCTTAGTACCTCCTCCCCAAACATACACCAAAACACATTTGACTCAGGCAGTACCACGTCTTTCATATGAACACACACAAAGGTAATGCTAGTGTAAACAAATGGCAACAATGGTATAGCTTTGGATTTTTTTTTTATTTAATCAAAGCTTAAAATGAAGTCCTACTTTCAGCAAGGGCTGTGTTGCTTCAAACCTAACCTCCCTCTGAGAACAATTAGAAATGCTGGACGATATTTTTAAAAATCTGATGGAAAGCATCTGAAAGATACCAAAGTAGTGAGAAATTGCAAAGTCAAGTACCAGAGAGGAAGGAGAGAATATGAGGCTAAGGGACAATTTAAAAATAAAAGCAACATTTAGAAGTTAGATTTTGGCTGAATGATAGGATACAAAAATAAAACATTCGGACCCACTAATGAGAAAAAGTTGTTGAAAACAACAAACAAAAACAAACTTAGGCTTTTATTTGGAATCCCAAAGTGCTAAATTCAAGAAGCAGTGAAACAAATATACCAGCCTCATGAAGACTGATTGGGCTAAGTTTACCTCCCCCTACCTCAACACTGTGCCAAGGTAAAGCTCATCCTCTCTGGTGAAAGATATCATCTAGAGCCTCAAATTTTTTTTTAGTTTTTTTCAGACCCAACATCTGAAACACAATGAAAAGATAACAAGGCAAATAAGAAAACATGACTTGACCAAAAACAAACAGGAAACAACAAAAACAGGACAGACCTACAAAAGACCTAGATCCTGGAGTTTTCAGACATGAACTTTAGCATAATTGTAATTAATATAACAGTAATTTAAATAAGGAAGATAGTGAAAAAAAGAGGCATCTGTATAGAAATGGAAACTCTCAAAATGAAAAACATGACAACTGAAATTAAGAAGCCAATGGATGAGTCTTATGGGTTCTTAGATACAGAAAGAATTACTGAACTTTAAGATAGGTCAGAAGAAAATGTCTAGACTAAAGCATGGGGAGTAAAAAGATTGTAAAATTTGATTTTTTTTCCCCATGGGCAGAAAACAATTTTTTAAGAGAAAGAAGCGGAGAGTGTCTCATAATGAAAAACACCAAACTACATATTCAAGAAGCATACTCAGGCACAAAACAAAAATTTTAAAAACCAAACATGAAGAGAAAATCTGGGGGGGAAAAGCCATTTACTTGCAAAGGAGCAAGATAATGATAAGAGCTGACCAACAATAAATGATGTCAGGTCAATTGGCTATCCATAGGCGAAACAGACAAAATGGAAATCAGAAAAGAATGTAGTCATATCTTCAAAGTACAGTGTAAGGAAATAACTGATAACCTAGATTTCTACATACACAGGAAATATCTCCTACAACTGCTTCATAGGAAATGTTGAGAAATAAATGTAATAATAAAAGGTATGCAAGATTATTAAAAAGCTCTGGAATATAATAATTTTAAAATGTGAATTAAATATGCAGACATATTAAAGTTCATGATATGAAATTAACATCATTAAGATGGTAGTTTCCTAAAATTGAACTATATATTTACTGGATTATTGTTTCAAAATCTTGTTTTCTCTTTGCAGGATGGAAATTGACAAGCTGGTGACATTTATGAAAACACAAAGGGTCAAGAACAGGCAAAACAAATTGGAATAACAACAAAGAAAGACTTGTACTATCTGATAATAAGAATTATAGACCTAGCACAATTAATGTGACTAGGTATTAATACAAAGCAAAATAGAACAATGAAACAGAATAGAGTGTACAGAAATTGATACATAAAAGTTATGAACACATGATTGAAGACAAAATGGCTCTGAAGAGGAGGGGGAAATTTCATCAATATAACAAAAAAGCTTCACTTCCTATCTGACACCTCATGCAAAAATTATTTCTAAGTATAAATGAATATCAAGGTAAATCTAAATGTCAAAGATATGATGAAGTTTCTAGATGATAGGATGAATATCTTCATTATCTTTGAATAGGAATAATTTCTTAAGTCATCCAAAAAGCACTGTCCATAAAGGAAAACACTGATGAAATGAACTACATTAAAATTAGGAACTTGTACTCAACAAAACATTCCATTAAAAGAGAGGAAAAGGCAAACCACTGAGGAGAAAATACTTTCAACACATATTTATCACAAAGCATTGTACACAGAGTATACCAGGGAATAAAATCAATTTATAAAAAACAAATCAATAGGCATGTGTGGGCTTTTCACAAGAGGAGATACAGATACCCAACAGAAAATATACTTGCTCTCATAAGTCATGAGGGAAAAGTAAATTAAAATAATGAGCACTACACCACCGAATTTGCTAGAATTAGAAAGTTATAGATAGCATTCTAAGTATTATAGGGGAGGTGAAGCACCTTGAACTCTTCTGTATGGCTGCTCAGAGTTCAAACTGGTTCTACCACTATAGAAAAGTGGAAGAACTGACTATAGGTGAGCATCTGCATAGCCTAAGACCCTTTGTCCCACTCCCAGGTATATATCAAATAGAATTAATGTGCACCAAAAGGCATGTACAGTAAAGTCCATAGCAGCATGTTCATAAATACCCAAACTAGAGGATACACAAATGTCTATCAACCATAAAACAGATAAACTGTGCTAAGATTCCTACAGTAGAATTCTTTGTAACAATAAGATAAACAAATCACTGACTCTTGCAACAACACAGATGAATCTCACAAGGTAACTGAAGAGTGAGACACATAAGAATACATTCTGTATGGTTCACTTTATGTAAAGCTCAAAAAAAGACTAACTAAGGCAAGTTTTAGAAGTCAGAGCTATGTTACTTGGAAGAAAAGAATAATAATTAGGAGGAGACATGAGGGAGGCTTCTGGGGTGCTAATTATATTCTCCTACTTCACTTGGGTAATATTTATGGGGCACATTCACTGTTTTAATACATTTAGCTGAAAACTTAGGCATGTACTTCTCTATAACATTTGCCTCAATAAAAAGTTTAACAAAACTTAAACCCCAATCTAAAGATCTAAATGTGAATACCTTCTTTGACTGTAGGAAAATAAATTATTTAAATATTTACCAGATAAAAACAAACGAACAACAACAACAAAAAAAAAAAAACAGTAAAAATCAAGCAGTAAGAGTCATCATTAATATTTGCACTTTTAGCTAAAGTGAGTGTCAAATCTGTCTCCTAAAGATGTAATAACAGAAATAAAAATTGGGGGACAATTGTGCTGTCTACTGTACCCCCTATAATATTTTTCAGCTACTACTGAGGTAATATTTCCAAATATAAGTCGTATCGATAATCTAATATTAGAAGTCAACAGTTAGTGATTGCTTGGGAGAAACCTGTTAGATGTTGGGATACCTACCATCCATGTAACTATGCAGCGCAGTTAGCATCGTCCCATCTTGGGGCACGTAGGCAGAATACGCCATTTCTTCTAACATGGGTGGAGACAGCCTGGAGGGCGGGACTGCAGTGACTGGGGCTGAGGAAGAGTGATTGGGACTCACATGCTTCTTGTGGCGTGCTCTACAGTTCTGAAACCACACCTTAAGGGGAGAAGAGCAAGGTTGGTAGGTCAAGGTCGGAAGGTCACACGTCAGGTAGGTCACTCTGAGTGCATTACCCACCCAGTTTAAAAATGAATTCAACATCACTCTACTTTTTAAAAAAGTTCTGTAAACAGAAAATACACTTTTTAACCCAGATAACCACAGTTATATTTTTCCCCCTCAGATAAGAGGTCTCTGGTGATTTATTTTAAAAGCTGATTCTGTACTAAACCAATATCTTTAAAAAAAAAAAAAAAGACAAAAAAGACATTGAGAAGAAGGAAAATGGGTAGAAAAAGGGATGAAAAGGTCCAGAAAAGTGTCCATGGTTTAACTACTGGCATTTGGAGGTAAAAGAAAAGGAAAAGTCTTTTTAAAAAGAACCTAAAAAAATGCTACTAAATGTATTCTTAGACACCTGCTGGACTTATTTCTAACCCTTGTTCAAATGATCCAAATCCCTACAGAGAACTTAAAGCTTTCTGTAAGCCTCTTGATTCAGTTATTCCAGTTAACATTTTAACCTGCTGAGTTCAATTCCTCTTAGTGAATACATAGACTATTTCCTAGGAAGCATGTTAAGGACAGGTGTATAATAAGAAAAAGCTAGTAATATTTCAATAGAACTAAATACAAACACATCCACTGATTAAAGTGTTCACAAAACATAAAGCACTAACTACTCTGTTTTCCATTCTATCACAGAAATGAAGCAAATTCAGGGGAAGCAAGGTCTTACATTCAGGTCTGGGTAAGGGAGGCTAGACCATCCATAATGCTACTAGCAATTAATCAGCCTGTTTGGAGTCCTCACCATGAAATAAATCTTGACCACAGAATTTTGCTCTATTAAAATATTATTATATCAGAGTTGGGGATGTAGCTCAGTGTAGAGCACTTGCCTGGCCTATGTGAAACCTTGGGTTCCATCCCCAGCTACTGCAAAATAAATATACATACATACATCCATACACACACACACACACACACATATATATATATATACATATACACATAGACATACATGTACATATACATATGTATATTATATATATACATATATGTAAATTGCCATCATTCCAAAAAATTCTGTCATAAGAAAAAAAATAAGGGAAGGGATAAACATGTCAAGAGAATTATGATGGGAAACTTTGGGGAACAGGGCAGAAATGGCCAAGATCTCTGGTCTGTTCTGGGTTGGCTGGTAAGAACTTGAAGGAAGAAGGGAATTAGGGCTACAAAGAATTTATAAGAACAAGTTGGCCTGATTTCAAAGATATACCCTTCCACTGGCAATCAAAAATAGAAGGCTGGTGAAGTATAAACTCGAGATTAAAACTAAAAGAGTAAAAGTTATTAATGTAATGGTATAAGCAGCTCTGAGCAGGTGGCTAAAAGGCAGCACCCAAGGAAGGTTTCCAGGACAAGTCTCTGGCACGCACCAAGGAAAAGGAGTGAGAACTGAAGCCATCCCCAACACTCTCTGAGGTATAGACCCTGAGATACCTGTAGAGAGACCCTACTCAAATTCTCCAGTCAGCCCACAGGCAAACAGTCGATGTCACTGCAGTCACCAGTCTCACCCAAAGACATCTGACCTCCTGACAAGTGGGTGGAGAGAAGTGATGCCACCTGCCTTTTCCAGAAGTCACACACTTCAGAGAACTACATACAGCCTCATAAACTTGCACTGTGCTTCCTGAAATATCTTCAAAATATCTTCTTGTCTCTAGTAAATTGTATGGAATATACAACAAACAACAACAACAACAAAATTATTATCTTTTCATTGAAACAAAAAATATTGTCAGACTTTGGAAATAAATTGGAAATTTGGAAGAATGTGTGACAAATGGAAGAATAGTTACCCTAACATTAATTCAAACAAAAAAAAGTGCTATCCACTTTCAGAATTCAAATACAAGTCCTTTGGACTCTTCTCACCTACTTGCAATTTCCTCCTGCTTTGCAAATCGCTAACAAGAGTTAAAAATTTCTCTGAACAACACAATTAAAATTTTGGAGTTCTAAATCATAAACTACATAAGGTGAAAACAGGTCATGGAGACATCATGCAAAAGAAAAAACTAACATAAAATGAATCTTTTAGAATGCCCAGACTAAAAGACAACTACAACAATTTAGTATATGAGAAAGATGATATTTTGTATTATTGTGAAAGCATGGCTTACTGATTTAGGGAAAACTGGTTAACAATTCAAAAGAAAAATACAGATAAACCTTTACCTCAGATGAAACTATCCAGATAAAGTTTAGGTACAAATCATTGAAACCATGAATTTTTAAGAAAACAAAAGCCAATATTGATAACATACTTTTCAGATAATTTTGGCCTTTGTGCTATGCTTCTCTATCAAAAGATTAAGAAATTTAAAGACATAAAGTTCTACATAGGAAAAAAAATAAATGAAAAGGAAAATGATGGACCATGAAAGTTTAACACAATAAACAGGATTAATAAAAATTAGTAAGATGAAGACAGAAGAAACAACTCACAGAAATATAGATTGAAAATAAATAATTTTAAATTATGAAATAAGCAAACATGTTCAATTCCATTTATTTTTTTACTTTTTATTTTTATTTTTTTTTTGAGATGCTGAGGATTGAACACAATCTTGTGGGCCTTGTGCATGCAAGGCAAGCCCTCTACCAACTGTGCTGTATCCCCAGCCCTCCATTGATATAAAAATATATAAAAATATATCAAATATATTTAATAATCTTACTCCTGTGAAAACTCCTGTATCTAGGTACTGGCTGGGAAAGAAAAATGGTATGAACTTTCTAGAAAGCAATTTTTGCATAAAGACTCTAAAAATGTTCTTTTTATTCAGCAATCTCACTTCCTATCTTTTTGTTCAACAATCTCACTTCTAGAAATTTATCCTAAGGAAACTGTTGAACATACAAACAAAATATAGTGTTGCTTATGGCAACACTTTTTGCGGGGTGGGGAGATTGAACCCAGTGGTGCTTAACCACTGAGCCACATATCCAGGCTTTTTATATTTTATTTAGAGACAGGGTCTGAATTGCTTTAGAACTTGCTAAATTGCTGGGGCTTGCTTTGAACTTGAGATCCTCCCGACTCATTGGGATTACTGGCTTGCACCACTGGCTCCCTGCTTAAAAATGGCAACATTTTAAGATAATGAAAAACTAGACTCAAAATAAATTATCCAATGCTCAATATATTCAGCAATAAAAATTATGTGCATCTCAGCTTTTGGAAGGGCAATCCTAGTCACACTGATTGAAAAAAACACCAATAATGTTTTACCCTGTTTCTGTAAAATATACAACTCATAATTAACTTATCTGAAAGGGTATATGAATAATGATTGGCTCTGGATGAAAAGTATTGAAAATCATCCATCTTTATTCTCTGACTTTAGCACAATGACAATCTGCTATTACAAATGTCCCACTAAGCAGACTTGAAGCTAGTGAAGTTGAGACTCTCCTTGTGTCAGACCATTGCTTCCACCTAATCTTTGGATGACCTAGTTTGCATATTACAACAGAGATCTAGTAATCAAAACTCTTTTCCTTAATGTGTCTCAAGTGCTGTGCCCAACATTAGGAAGGAGGTTGGGGGAAAGACATAATTACTATTTGAGGTCACAGTACTTAATTCTTCAAAAACACTGTGAAGGACTATATATTTAAATTACACATACATATACAAATAATATATACATTTGCTTGCTAGTACTCTTTCCTTTGTCAGCTTATGAAAAATATCCAACATGCAATCTTTACATTTAAAAAGCCAAAATCAAAACTATATTCTGTGAGTTTTAGCGTTTGAGATCAAGTTAACATACACATAATACTGGGACTTAAATACCTGAGAATTACAAGACAAATGTCTGATTGGGATCCTTAGTCCTTCAAATAACAAGAAATGCTCTAAGAAGGCCTTCCATTCTATTGTGCTTCTGACCAAAATAGTCTAAACCTAACAGTCATGAATTTGGCTTTCTTGTAGCCTTCATTACTATGAATGTGCAAAGTCTTAGATTAGAAGCAACACTGGACCTTTGAGTCTGACCTGCCTTCAAAGGAAATTTCATTTCCAGGCACATGAAATGATCTTCAGTGATGGCCATGCCATATTTGTAGTCTTTCACATGAAAAAGTTCATTATGAGTGAACGTCAGTGTTTTTTTTTTTTTAATATTCTTTTGCAGACCAGTCTTTATACACATTTAAAGATACCTATTCTGTATTAATTGTTCCTTTCCCATTTCCTGACCATCTCCAGTTAACTATCCTTATTGCCTTCAATATTATGGCAATTTTAAGATTTTTTTTATTACTTTGGTAGCTTTTCTTAAAGGCAGCATTCTTTCCAGATTGGCTAACAAGCCAAACACAATACTAAAATAAACACAATACTCTGAACATCTGAAATGTGCAGAGGATGTGGGACTCACCTCCTAAGAGAGCCTCATACTGCAGTCAACTAAAACCACTGGGGAATTAATCTTTAGAGAAGCTGCAGTGTTCTTAGGTCTTTCCCGTATGCTTCTTTATATAGACAGTTTGTTAATGTGAAACATTTTTAGCTTCTCAAAGAATATATACCTGTGTATCAACCTCCCAACTTAATAAAATACAAATAACAATGAAGGTATTTATCCACCACCCCCAAATAAATTTCATTTTACTTTAGTTCCTTAATCTTTTTTGAACCTCAAGTATTTTTTTACCTTCTACTTCACTATTCTTTTTATACCATTTTGTTAGTTGGTTGCCTCCTTCCTGAAGCAGCCACTCTTCTCCAGGCTCCCTCCTTGATTCTAAGTATTACTATGTCCCACTCAAACGGCAGTACCTCTGACATGTTTTCTCCCTAATGCCCACCCTTTTCGGTTTTTGTGGTTGTTGTTGTTTTGTTTTGGTACTGGGGATTTAACCAAAGGGTGCTTTACCACTGAGCCACATCCCCAGCCCTTTTTATTTTTTATTTTGAGATGAGGTCTCACCAAATTTCTTAGGGCTTTGCTAAATTGCTGAGGCTGGCCTTGAACTTGGGAGTCTCCTGCCTCAGCCTCCCAAGCTGCTGGGATTACAGGCAGGTGCCTCCCAGCTCATTTTTTTATGCTCTATGACCTCCTTCTAAAGGATCTAACCCAAAGGATCTCTTTGCTCTAGTACTGTTCATCCTTTCAAATACTTGTCTTCATATTCAACTGCCACCATCCCTGAATGATTAGCACAACTAAAAGGGACTTCATCTTCCTCCAAACAGCCAACCAGGTTTTTTTTTAACTTTATTTCTGTTTTGAGTACCAAACCTATTGATATTTTGATTCTCTCTGCTTCTCTACTACAGTCCCCAAGTCCTTTTTCTGGTATCCCTATCATCCAGCTCCTGACATTTCTTGAGCAAATTCTAGTTAATAAAATGTTTCTCCAACAAATCCTAGGCCCACTAACTCACTCTACTCCCTGGCCCCATCCCCCAAATCACTACTTTGCTGGGTATCCCAACTAAGTTTTCTGCTTCTAACTAGTTTTCTCTGGATTCTGATTCTTCTCATATGCTGTCACAAGCTCTTCCTCAAGTCACAAATAATGGCCTTTTTCTGTCCAAGAAAGAATTCTGCATTCATAGGCCTCTGCAACTACAACAATTTCATCTTCCATAATTTCTAAACCTCAATTCTACATTCTAATAAGTTTGCTCTAATTCATCCCTCCCTAGCTTCGTTTATATAACTCTCTCTTCCTGGATCTTTTAGCAAAGCCCGCTAATACCCTTAACATACATACACCTACACACACACACACACACACACACACAGTCAAAAAAAAAGTAGAAAACACTGAATTCAGAACCAGATTGTGCTTGGAATTTCAGTTCTCTTTCTTAGCCTGAGGATCTTGGGGCTGCTGTGAGCACTGAATGAAAACATGCAAAGAGTAATTTGGCAAAAGGCAGCCTGACTCAAGGTAGACTACTTATCAGGTTTTAAAAAATTGATTTAGAGTGTGAAAAGACCTAAAACAGGAAGGTAATGTTATGAGATTTCTTCACAAAAGAACAATGCACACTCAAAGATCTGGAATTGGAAATCTTTGTATCTCTTGATTGACCTTTAACATAATCACCTGTATCACACGTCTGCTCAAGCCTGTCCTCTCTGCCAGTTTCTGGAGGGTCTGTGCATCTGGGTTGTTGTCCTGAGCAAATTGTGCTTGCATGACCTGTTTTATAAAAGATGTACGTAGCAAATAGTTAAAAATACACAGAGCAATCTAAACTTTGATGACAGAAAAGATATGCACAAGAAAATGTGATACTTATACTCTACGACTTGAAAATCAATATGGGAAGTATGTATAAGTGAAAAGGCATATTTTGTGAATTGCTATGCAAAAGTTATGCTGAACTCTTTAAAAAATAACCCACTTCAACAGAAAATTTGGTCTCTCAATTATGCTGTTAGAAATAAACTCACCTTTTGTTACTTCCATTTTTAGAACCCATAAATGAAATGCATAAATAGTATGTAATTCTCACTATTTTATTCATTCTGTTAAACTTCCCAGCATTCTAATAAAATATAAAAATCATATCACATTTATCTGCCACCTCTACTGAGCTAAACAAGTACAATATCTATAATATAAACAGGTATAATATCTATAATTATAGTAATATAATTTTCATTCATCTGCAGATAGTAAACAGCTCAAAAGATGAATTCCGCTTGGTTGTAATGATGCCATCATTTGGGGATCATTCACTTTATGCAAAAGACTATTTGAGATCTTTAAAAAAAAAGACATCATCAGTCCACTGAATAAGAATTTATCAGGATCTAAACATCTCTATACTGAAACAATTCACAGGTGATTCTGATGGGAGTCTTTGGATTGGAATCCCTGTGTCAAGTGCTATGAGATATGAAGAAAACTTTCCCTGTCTTCATTTTCCTGAAAGATACAGGCATGCCAATAATGACCTAAAATAAGAAGTAAAGGGAGAAAAGTAGAGGAGAGTAGGGAATATCAGAATACAAACACAAACCAAGGACTCTGGATTATTCCAGAAGAGGGAATCATTATGGGAATAAAGTAAGACATTTGAATTTAATTATTAAAAGTCAATCAGCTGAGGGGAGGATTATAAAACATAAAGGATGTCTTGCAAACAGTCAGGGAAGCATCCAACATGTAGTGCACGTCTACAGTGTGGGGCATGAGTGCCCAAAATACCTAAGCACATAGAGCACAGCTCGCCTCTATGCTCTTTCCAACTGGCAAATCAGCTGTGTTCTCCACTATCGTCCTTGTGTAATACTATCATCTGCCTCTGCACTTGTCACAGGGTAGCTAAATAATTCATCTGCAAGTTCACTGTCCATAGCAGAAAGTGAGCTCTTTGAGGACAAGGGCAGTGACTTACTCTTCATAACCTCATGGGCTACAGCCAAGTTAACTCCTTTCCTGTCACACACTGTGCACTTGAGAGTTCATGACAGAATGAGACTTACAGTGAGGAAAATCTGGTGAAAGTCTGCAGAAAAAGGCTAATGTTCCAGGAAACCTTCTGAGGTTACAAGCTATATTTTCAATTAAGATTTGAGGGGCTGGGGTTGTGGCTCAGTTTTGAAGTGCTTGCCTAGCACATCTGAGGCACTGGATTCGATTCTCAGCACCACATAACATAAATAAATAAAATAAAGGTATTAAGTCCATCTACAACTAAAAAAAATATTTAAAAAAAAAAAGATTTGATTAGTGGCTCTTCTAGACTTATGATAGTATTCCTGGCTTCCCATCCAGCTATGCTCAATCTATACACTGTCAATAAAACATAACTTTTTAGTTTAAAAATATAGGCAAATGGCCTAAATGTTTATAATCTCACTCAGTTCATTTTATTCTTCCTTTCCTACTCCAAATGTGTTACTTTAATATATTCCTATATGAACGAGGATTTGTGTTTATAGTTTGACATGTACCATCCCAAAAACAAACAGAATGACCAAATTAATCATGTCTTTGTGTTTTAATTTTTCAAAAAGAAAAATATGAGCAAGTATTTGGGTGTTTGCTAAGAAGCTCGTTACTGACAATCTCTAAAAAATAGGAATAAAACAAATCAACAGTGATCATTTAGAATTGGAATATTCTTAAGAAATACTTATTGATCTTCCTTTTAATAATATTAGTATTTAGTCTCATGAAAAGAAATAAAAGGGCTTTTTAATTTCTACTTAGTTTCACCATTCTCCAGACATTGATGCTTCTGAAGCCCACTCCATTCCTTTTTTTCAAGTTCTTCTAACATGGTCTAGGGGTAAGTCTCTATAGACACATTATTTTAAGGCCAAGAGATTTATAGCAATGTCAGGAGTCAACACAGTAACAGTTGACCAATTTTATATGAAAATTAAAGTAAGAGCTAAACTTGGCATGTTTAATAGTAATAATCATTGAGCCAATATTTGTAACTATAATAGGAAAATCATAACATTAGTAGGAATTTCTTAAATATCATTTTTATAAAGAGACAATATCTGATATTTATCTACAGACATATTTTTTGAGTCAAACTATTTTTCTCTCCATGAGTTTCTAAAGAATTTCAGGAAATTATTTATTCATCCTATTTTAACTCTTCTCTGTGCAAAGTAGGCACTGTATGGACAGTCTTGACTTACTGTGCACATATAATATCTTACTATTTTGCTCAGTTCAAGCAAAAATACTTGAATATATTCAGATTTCTTAAAGAAAGGTAAAACAATTGACAATCAGAGATTCTGACAAAGTAAATATATTTTTTTTTATCCACAGCTATCCTATATTTCTAAATTATAAAGAACCTCTAGAGGATTGTATCTCATTTGGCTCAGCCATCCCTAGCATAAGATAAATACTATTAAATACTGAGTAAATGAGAACATCCTTTGAAAGCATATCAATATGCTTTCATTTTTTTAAAACCTATGATTCTAATATACATGTTAATCGCTTTTAATTCAGATCACATTTTTCTATAACACAAGGCTTAAATATTTTAGGCACATTTGCAACAACTTAAAACTGTAAGACTACCCATAAGATCCAGAATCCCACTCTGTGTTTTAGCTGTTGATGTTGCCATTAAATGGAGTTTTGCTAAGGCACATTTTCTCTCATGTCTACTGGGAAGCCAAGCCAAACAAAAAGACCAGGTTGTGGAAGCAGGATTCAGATGTCTTTTCTACCATTCCCCTGGAGGTCTGTCTTCAGGGGAGTTCCTGAATCTTTTGGAGAGGCTACCTACATCAAGGAATAACTATAAGAGTTAAAGGAGATAATACAGATAAGATGCCTGGCACAGGACTTGTCATACCAAGGCTTTCACACCCTTTATGTCTATACACAGGGGTTTCAAATTCACACAATTATAAATAAATTTTTACTTCAAATTAAAATTATCATCCTTTGTAATTTTTCAAATTATAGACAATTCATCATGGGAACAGTCCACTTTAAAAACAGTACATTGAAAACCAAAAAATAAATATTAAAAATTAAAAGAAAAACAGTATATTTGTATTAGAGATTCTGCTTTAACCCAGACACTTTTTAGCAACTGGGTCTCTAAGGACTTGTGTGATCTCCATTTTAACTCATGGAAACTGTGAGGTAAGCAAGGTTTCTTCTAATTGCCTTATCTTTCACTTATTACTTACTGATCAAGTACTTTATGCCTAAGAAATACAAAACAATGATGTATTTGGAACTTTTTTCTGAATGGATCTAGATTTTAATGCTCAAGTCATTCCCACTGCCAAGTTCCCTCAGAATGTTTGTAATCATTCTCAAAATAAAAACTTCTCTCTTAAAACAGTTTTATATGGCATCCATCTTCAATACCAGCAAGTCTTAGAATGCTACATATGATTTTTCAAAATATTACTTTCACTCATTAACAAATGCATAAATGTCTTTTAAAGTCTGAACTAAAATGGATGCTATGTGTAAGGTACCCAGTTGTACATGGTAGGTGCCCAATAAATATTACATTACCTTAACATAAAACACATAACCTCAGCGACATTAATCTTTTAGAAAAAGTGATTTTCTTATCTGAAAAAGTGCCAGAAATAATCATCATATGTATAGACTTAAATATAAACTGAGGAGTAAACATTTATCTTCTTGACAATTTGGATCAACCAAATTTACAACAATTATATTTAGGACAACTAAACTGAAAATAATCCCATCCTTTTCAGGGGCACAGCCAACCTTTAACATAAAATTATATAATTACTTCCTCTACACCTTTTAAAAACAAGAAACGGACTACTTGATTGGAGTCAACCAGCGTTACTATTTACTTCAAGGAATACTCAATTCTTTCCTACTCAAAAAATATAACAATCTTGTCCATTAAGAGGCTCATTGTAATTTTTTTAAAAAGACTAACACAATAGAGTCCCATAGACCTACATGCTGTCTCTTTCTGTTAAGAGTCTCAGAATAGTTTGTCTCCTGTTGTGATTACATGTAGTAACATATGGCTAGATTAGACTGATGTTATCATGAAATCAGAACAGATCAACATTTTGTTTCTACTGTGCTGCTGATACCAAAAGACTCCAAGGAAACAGCACTTGTATGACTATACACATAGTGTGTTGGAAATACTGATAAACATTTCATGGCAATAAATATATATTCATACATTCATTAAGTTCTCAAAAAAAAAAAAGCATAGGATAACCTCTGAGAAAACATGAATGTTTTTAGGCATCATGAACTTTGCTTTTTGTTTTGTTTTGGAATTTTGTTTTTGGTAGGGAAGGGCTCCAAAAATCTTAAATTCATTGTCACGTCTACCTGGAGTTGATCTGCTGTAAAGCTTGTGCGAGCTCTTTTTGCTGGTTTTGGATGATTGACATCTTGTTCTGTGAGGAGGGCACCTTCCACACTAATCCCATTACCTGCATTTTAAAAATATACCATACATATTGGTAACTCAAATCAGTCCACCAATGATGCAGTAATAGCTCTCTTGTATCTCTTGGCTTATTGTGAAACTGTACATATCTTCTAGATTGTAAAATCTCTTAAGTTTTAAAACACACTGTAAACATATTGTGGAAACAATATTCCATTTATAGACTTATGTTTTCAGTCAAAAGTGCAAAAATTTAGAAGTCACATCTAAGGCCCATTCTTTGGAAGGCAAATAAAACAAAACAATTGTTTTCAAAAAGAAAACCTGAACCCTAACTAAAGTCTGCTGCCTGAAAATATGGCACAAAGCTTATACATACACCATGGTTCCCCCTATAAATAAACAGATGGAGACCATCACTAACAGTAGAGTGCTTAATGAATTTTACCACAATTATACTTTGCACAAAATAATGCATTAAGATGACTTTGGGAAAAATCATTTTTATCCCTGTATTCACTGTCCCCAAAGACTCAAAAGTATTTTAAGTACATATTTACCATTTTCCACTTCTCTTTTTAAATTATCCAGCATGCAGTCATAATGCACCCTGCAGAGGACTTTCTCTTCCACCAATGCAAACTCCTCTCCGGTGGAAAGTTGCCTTTTGCAAGAAAAGCAGGCAAAGCACGCCAAGTGATAAACATTTCCCTTGGCTCTTCGGACCCAGTCAGTAGAATGGATGTGCCTCCCACATCGAGAGCAGCGAGCTCCATACCTTCTACAGTAAAGAGAAGGGCAGAACAGTAAAGATTTTAATGCTTTCGTGAGATATTTATCAGACTAATATTAAACACATTATATACTCCACTGGCATTTAAACATTTTGAAAAAAATAAAAATTATTTTCTAAAAGTCACCTATAGTACGAAATCAAGATTTAAGATCACAATTCAGATCTATTTTTAAAAATAAAACCTCATGGCTGCTGTAAATGAAGACTGAATTTTCTTTTAAAATAAACAAAACATGAATTTTAATATTCTTCTTACTGGGTCAAATATCAAAGCATTTATAAATTTATTTAGAGACTCAAGATACAAATACACAAGGCGGGGGGGGAGGGGAAATGGACAGAAAAAGTAAAATGCAAAAGTATACAAACTCAAGATATAAATATTGACTTCTTAAAACCAAGTTGAGGACTGGGGTGTAGCTCAGTAGTATAGCATATGCTTAGCATGCACAAGGTCCTGGGTTTCATCTCTAGCATCAAAAAGCAAAACAAATTTTAAACTGGGAAGTTGAGATTAGAAAATGCCATAAAAATACCATAAAGAAGACATTTGAACATTTAAAATAGAAATTATCAAATGATACACAGAATAGAAATTCTTCATCCTAGTGGGTGAAGAAGAAAACTTGGAATTGTATCCTTCCCCAGAAAAGCTAAGGCATTGCTATCCACAGAAGGGAAGAAATATTATCTAGAACTTCGGAGACATATTTAAATATTAGATGCAAATCAGTCTTAACAGAATGCCAGAGATAGGTGTAAATATTTCTTTTTTTCTTCCAGGCTGAGTGACTGGATGCTGTCATGACTCTTGTCACCATCACAGCCCCCGCAACCCAGATCACACTAGAGCAGGGCATGTACATGCGCCGCCTCCTGGATGTGTCTTTGGAGAAACTACCAGTTATTATTTATTTTTTTAAAAAAATATATTAAAACTGAATCCTAAAAATAAATTTCGGAATATAATAAAATATGAAGTATTTAAAAGTCCTGAAGAACAAGATTTTCAACCTTTAAAACCAAGTATTTCAAAGGGCTTTAATTTACCATAAAAAAATAAGATCAGCATATCATACGTGAAAGAGAAAGGTAAACTTTTCTACTGTAGAAGAAATGGAGAGTAAACCTAATAAAAAATATACATTTTGAGTGATCATAATATTCTGTGATTTTTATAGAATAAATGATTCTGGGTATTATGAAGTGCTTCAAATCACCCAGCAATTTTATTCAAATCAATCACTAAACACTTTTTTTTGTGGGGAGGGTACCAGAGATTAAAACTCAGGGGCACTCAACCACTGAGCCACATCCCCAGCCCTATTTTGTATTTTATTTAGAGACAGGGTCTCACTACGTTGCTTAGCGCCTTGCTTTTGCTGAGGCTGGCTTTGAACTTGAGATCCTCCTGCCTTAGCTCTGGAGCCACTGGGATTACAGGTGAAATCACTTTTTGAAATGAAGTATAACGTATACAGTATAACATACACTCCATAAACAATATAACATCCATAAATGGAGTATGACAACATAATAAGTGTTGCAAACTTTGCTACATAGTATTAATTTACTAATTTCACAATGAACATTCCTCTTCATTTGCAAATGCAAATAAAAAGAAATATAGTAATTTCAAAATTCATGCTTACAAACCATTTCAATTTCCAACAGCTTGTCCATAAAGAATTGAATTATATCCTAGAAAAAAACTTTACATTTAAACAATTATAAGGAGATCAGAGAGTGAAAATGTTACATTTAATATCCTGTGAAAATATAATCTCACAAACTAAAGATCCAAAAACAGACAAAGAAATTGAATTTCTAGGCAGAATAATTCAATGGAGTGTACTTACAATCCTGACCAATGTACTTCTGGCCAATGTACTTGATCACAGTATCCAAACTCTTGTCATCTTATAGGTGTATAACTGGGATCCTTCTATGGTAAATTGTTCAAAGCTTTTTTTCAGTTTTCTCCCCCGAAATGATTTTATGTCATCTTATCATTTCCCCCAAAGAAAGAACTTTGTCACAATAAGTCATTTTGTATTTTATACTTTATACCCATGCACAGCAAAGCTTCTGTTCGTAATAAATACATAAAACTTTCATTCTCCAGAGTGAAAATCTTTTTTGAATTAACTTTTGTATTCTAAATTCCTAAAAGCGATATAAACATACTGATTGCGTTTTAATATAATTTACACCCCAATATTTTGAAATCCATCATATGAAAAAAAATGGGGCTTCAATAAATAAAACTGTACAAGAAAAAGTCCAACAGGTGAAATCATTATAAAATCATTATAAAATTGTTTGCATAAAATTTCTTGAATTGTAACTAAGAAAAATATTCACCATGTACCTGAAATAATCGAGTTTGCAGAAAATGTCTTTGTCTTTAATATAACAGCTGGTGTGTCTTCCTAAGGAGGTTCTGCAGACACTGCAGGAAAGACACCGGACATGCCAGCACAAGTCATTCACCTGGGAAGGAAAGCAGGGCAGATGAGAAGCAGTCTGACACTACAATGAAGAACCCATTCACTGTTTCGTATGTGAGGCAACACTGGCCCTATCATATTTTAACATATGCTCTGGATGTTTCCATTCAAACAGTGTCATTTATATAAATATGCATCTGGATAGAGTCTATTTTAGACTCCAACTAGAAAAATCACACTACTATATGCCACATTTGTGTTTATATTTTTTTAAATTCTTCTAAAGAATTCAGGTTCATTCTTTCTTTTTCTTTTCTTCTCATCCCACCTCTTTGAGCACCAGAAACATTTTGGTTAAAGTCTTACGTAGAGATTTTTTTTTTGTTTTTCTTTTCCTAGGTTCTTCCTATCATGAAACCTGGTATTTAAGGAAGTCAAGACTAACAACCTATTTTTTGTCCAAACAATTATAAACTGTATACCTGTTAAAGAGAGCAAAAAAGAAAGTGGAAAATTGCTTTATAAGATACTCACACTAATAAAGAAACTAGGCAATCCATTTCCCTTACAAACCAGAAATTGCTAAGGTAGCTCTAAAGGGTAATAAAGCAGTAGCCCTGGCAATAAAGCCAAGGAGTAAAATAATGGTAAGACTACTTAATGATTTGGCGACAGGGGAACAAACAGAATTATTTTCCATTTACACTTCAAGTAGTAAGATATAACATGGTATTTAACAAACAAACAATCAAAAAACACAGCACTTTTATACTTTCTAAATAGCAACAAGAAATATCGCCAATTCAGGAAAACAAATCATAATTACTCTCACTTTACACTGTTGCCACAATACCATAAGCACAATTTTAGCCTTTAAGAGTAAAGATGTGTGCTAGTTGAATTGGGCTGCTCATAAAGTTTGCTCTGTTAAACAGACACAACAAGTAGATTTATGCTTAATTAAATTTCATGTAAAAGAAGAGCAATGATGCAAAAACACCAGTTGTACCCTACAAATGGATCTAATAACTAAAATAGGAAAGTAAATTACCATGAGGTTTGGCTTTTGCTATACTATTTCATAATACTTTTCTATCCAGTGATAGTCAGATTGTAACTACTGTTCAACATATTTTTCCGTGATACAAAATACAAAATGTTCTTTGAAACTTAATGTAAAAAGATTTATTGGCTTCTAATTAGAGGGATATACCTCTTTCCAAAGCACTAATGAGATGCTCATTTTTTGTGAGATTTTAAGTTTTATACTTTAGTTTTTTTCTTTAAAAGAATTATATATGCACGACAGAAAACACTGAAAATAAGAAGCCAATAATAGGGGGAAATCAGAGAAAACTGAAATTTAAAATATTAACCATGATGAATATTGTCCTGGAGGTAAAGATATATTTCCCTTTTTCTTTGCCCCCTAAAATGTGGCCAATTAATATAAAGTTTAAAGGTAGATGATTTTTTTAGTATTCCACTGTTCAGGGACTTCTGTATTTCTGTCACATCCAAGTTTTGTTTTGTTTTGTTTTGTACTTTTTAAAGCAAGATTTTAGGGTTGAGCCATGGTCTACAAAAGCTAAACCTAATACCTGATTTGGCATCTTTCCTCAAAATTGACTTCAAAAAACAAACAACAAAAAAATGAAGTCCCTTAATCTTCCTTTTTGGGGGGGCAGGGAGTAAAGTGAAGCAAAGAAAGAAGATTCTGGAAACTATAAACCTTTACTGATGACTAGTATTGATACAATCAGCATAAATGCTTAAACATAGGAGTAGGACCAAGCCAAAAAACCACCAAAATCACAAAACACTAAAGTAATAAATGGGGCAAAGATGTATCTAACTCCTTTTATACTTTTCTGTTCTAATTCCATTTTACTTGCCTCACAAGAGAGTGTTTTTCTATTAGATACACCCTTAAATACTATTCCTATACTAGGTCTATTTTTTAACCAATGCCAAGTTTGAATTCAAATTTATCTGGAAGAATAATCAAAGTGTTGGGGGGGTGTAGAGTTAAGAACGCAGAGTTTTAAGACAGTCATATAGTATCAGACTTAATTTGGTGCCAGTACACTCATATATAAGTATTCTACAAGAATAAGATTCATGTGGAAGATTTTATTGGGCAGACTCCTGTCTCATTACAAAAAAAAAAAAAAAAAAGTTTTGCTTAACTCAGATGGCAGGTATTGTCTATAATACAAAGATATGCAAATATATATTTATACAAGGTAAACACTAGAAACTATTTCAGAGGATGTGATTAGTGTCACTTCATCCTAATTTTCTCTGTTATGAAGTGTTAGTCTTCATAAACACATTTCAGAGAAATTCTTTTAAAAATTCTGCTAATTATTGGGAGGGCTCATTGAAAATAAGCAGTTGGTTTTGGTTCAAAAGATGATTTTAAAATATCAAAAGGCTCAGGTTTAGCAACATTGAAATTGAAATTTTAAGAATGCAGACTTAAAGAGAAAGCCATGTTAATTTGCCAACTATAGTGATCAACCACCAAGTAGGACAGACTTAGTTATTTTTAAACCTTTCCTTCAAAACTTTAAAACCTTTAAAACTTTTTTTGGTACTGTATCTGGGTTGTATAGAGTAATATTCCCATTTTACAGATGAAGCAGCTTTGTGCAATGACAGAAATTTACAGAGTTCCACTAACTCACTTTTTGAACTCATACTCTCCATAATTAATCCTTTTGAACCCCTTACATTGTGGGGAGGGAATAGAAAGTGAACTGGTTTGCAGCTAATTCAGTTTAAGAGAAACTATTATTTTACATAGTGGTTTTAAAAAGCTATTGAAGTTGAAAACCTAATGTATTAGGATTAAGGCACTTGGGACCATGATCCAGCCTGCAATGATATGGATAACTGGGCCTGCCAGAATTTCTACTCCAAAATTCCCCCACAATATTTCAAGAGAAAAGTAAAACAAATTAAGACAGTCAACTCTGAAACCACTTGAAACACTTCATCGGAGGCTCTTGTGTGTGCGTGCATGTGCATGTCTAACTTCACATCATTTTCCATCTTTTTCCTTAAGCACTGGAGAGGACATAACAACAGCATTGGGTGGGCTTAAGAACAGGAAGGTACTGAAAATTTTTTTTTATTTAAATGCTCCTATAAACTTTCTTAATTTGTAAAAGTTTCAAGTAAATGTAAATAAATATAAGACTATATTAAAAATATCCAGAAAAAAAATCATTTAAGGTACTTCACAATGGGTTACGCCAAAGGAGACACTGCAAAGGGAAATCAGTTACCACGTACTGACCTGGAACTCTTCTAAGCAGACAGGAGCGTGGGCGTTACTTGGGTGGAGGGATCAGTTAAACCAAAGATGTTTAAGAAAGCAATGGTTTGGGGCTTGGTAAAGAAATGAGAAGGCAATCCTTTCAAACTGAGCAAGGGTTTCCCCAACTTCACGTCTGTCTACGAATCAGTTTGATTATGGTACATTCACCCAGGGAACTGGCATTTCTACACCAGGATGTGTCTCGCATAAACTATTTTTCAGCAACATGAAAACAGCCTATTTTTTTTTTTTAATCACACTTGACTCACTGTATGAGTCGCCCTAAACTGGGCTAATTTTCTGAGGTCTACAATCACTACTGAGAATTTGGATGGAAAGGGCGGTCAGGGAGCTTTTCTCTTTCCCTCGAGCTTCCACGCTAACCCCGCGGCTCCATCCTACCTTGAGAAGGTATTTGTCCACGATCTCCAGGCCGCAGCTGTTGCATACACACTTGCCAGGGGGGCAGCCGGAGCCCGAGGCCATGGACTGGGGCGAGGACGAAGGGGACAGCGGGGCCGAGGAGGAGCAGGAGTCCTCGTCCCCAGCTCCCTCGGGGCTCACCTGCAGGAAATGCGCAGGCAATTCTAGACCCCTCCTACCCTTTCGCAACCCACCTACCCACGGGGGAATCCCCAACGCCTCCCCTCACTTCCCCCAGTCGACCCCCACCCCAGTCTATGAGGTCTCATTTCTACTTCTCTCTCCCAGGTCCCAGCTCTGGCCACGTACCCTCTGAGGCTGCTGACCCCTGACCTCGACGACCCCGGGAGCTATGCAACCCTGCCGGCCACTTGGGCCAGCTAACTTCCCACCCATTCCGGCCCTCCACCCGCTTCCAGAGGGGCCAGCTGGCCCAGGAAAGAGCTCGCGGACAGTTGTCCCTTGTCCTTCGCCCGCCTCCCCACTCACCAGTCCGTCTTCTCCGGGGCTTTTCCGAGTCCTTCCAGCCGCCAGGGCTGCAGTCCGCCCGCACTCGTCCGACATGAGCCCCCGGCACTGAGGGGTGGGATGGAAGGAACCGAGGGAGAAACAAGATCAGAAGTTCAGAACGTGCACGCGGCCGAGAGACTAGGCACCGGGCGCGAGCTAATGAAGGCCCCAGCGCGCGGGCTGCGCGTGCAGCCTTCCCTGCGCCTGAGCCCGAGCGCAGCGGGCGCGAGGGCGCGCAGCCTCTCTTGCCCGCCGCTGGCTGCCGCCACCGGAACGCCAAGGGCTCGCCCGGCGAGCTGCGGAGCTCCCGGGGATCCGGGTCCCCTGCGCTCACCCGAGCACGTTAGTTCCCTGCCCCCCCCGCCAGGGATAACAAGTTAATAACAATCATCCCCGCACAAAGCGTTTTCTTTCTAGACGTCAATCACCGCGAAGCGGGGAACACCGGGCTAAAGGGGGTGCAGGGCGGGGGGGAGGTGAAGTGGGAGAAAAGAAAAGACGATTGAGGAGGGGGTGGAGGAAGAAACTTGATTTCTTTAATAACCTCAATTAAAAGAGCAAGACACATATATATTTTTTAAAGGGGGCTTTTTGAATAGGATAGCCCGAAAGGTGAAGAGGTTTAATAGGATACTTGAAAGCTAATTACAGCGGGATTTAAGAAGCCTGGTGTTTGTTCCGATGACAATTTGAATGAAAATGCTTCAGATTAAACCGAGCCAGCAGCTCTTTCGTAAACTTACAGCAATTAGAGCCATGAGTGATTTACACTCGTTTCTTTAAGGTGTAAATTGCCACTTATTGCTCAGTAAGTCAACATTTGAGCTACTAAGGGATTATTTTTAACCAGCGCAAAAAGCGGGTCGAATAATGGAAAATATCCAGCTGAATTTAATTTGTGCCATTAGAAAAACTCACCCAACCTCGGTCAGAATGTTTTAAAGCAACAACGCGCGTTACTAAAGTGTTTCCAAGCCTTTGCTGGAGTTTTGTTCTTAAAAGAAAACGCAGCCTCTGGGGGCTTTTTCTGCCGCAGTATGAAAACTCTAGCCTGGGAGTTAGTGGGTCTCCAGAACCCGAATGGCCCACGCTTCCGTATTTCTCATTCGTCGTCCCCTCTGCTTTCTTCCGTGCTTTGAAAGCGTCAGACGAGATTCTGCCCGAATGGGGGGGGGGGTCTTGCGGACCCTATCAGGGACCCCCGGGTGCGTTCCCTACGAGGGACCGCAGCTGCACCAAGATGTACACAAAGAGTACAAGCAGGAAAGCCCCAGTTTTGCCGGGTGTTACCAGCCAGCGTCCAAAGACATCAGTGCCTGCTGCGGGTCCTCCTGAGGCCCTCCAACAGGCTGCAGATGATTTTCAAACTGAAATGGCGATGCACCCACAGGTCTTGCCACCAGAGTGAAATGAGAGCTTGTCAGTTCCCTCCATCTACCCAGACGAACCGTCAGACTCGTTTTATGCGGTGGGATTTGCTTCCATTGGTGTTTTAAATAAAACGATTCTTCTGGCCCTTACTGGGATCCCCGAGGCCTTCCTGGAGCCACATCTCCCTGTATCTTGTTGTGGGGCAGAGGTAGCGCGGGTCGCCCTGCGGCCAGGGGCGCTTTGGGACGAGCAAGTGTCAGCCCGCAGCCGAACTCGTGGAGTCTACGGTCCCTCCCCACAGCCGCCCGGTACTCCCGACCCGCTCTCCCGGATCTCCATAGCAAACAGAACAAAAGCACGACTCACATGGACCCGAGAGCGCCTTAGGCTGGAGGCTTCGTCTCCCAAATTACAGTCTCCATGCCTCAGGTTAAGTGAGCTTGTGCGGAGGGGGGCAATGATTACGGACTAGCGCTACTACGTAATAAAAAAAAAAATTGCCAGGTCTGAAGATGAGGCCGGTTACAGGTAGTTTCTGAACCTCATTTAGAAGCCAAAACAACTCGCGTTCCAAGGAAACTGCAATTCAACTGGCCTGGCCAGTCATCGGCTCGCTCACCTTCTCTGGGGGAACTGCCAGGTCCGGCACGTCCTTTTCTTCTAGTTTACACACAAACATCTGATCGCTCTTCCAATACATGGCACTGCTAGGGCCGCTTATCACATACCAACTCCGGAGGATCAGAGGCTGCCCGTGGCTACAGATCTTTCCCCCTCCCCCGCCCCAAAGAACTAATAAAAGCTAACACCGAGGAGGATAGGAATGTCACAAGTGAGTCTTCCTCCAGAGAAGCCGCAGTGGCCGCAACCGCTCCCTGACAGATCGTACTTGAGATTCCTTTTCTGACTCCACTGAAGTCTGCCCCTCCAGGAAAGGGGGGGGGGGTGTTTGCTTTCCAGAGGGTGGAACTTTACATAGAGGGAGGGGTGGGGGGGGGAGTTTTCCTGGAGGAATAGCCTCACCTACTTTAGGAAAACCCGCCTTCTCTACATGTTAAGATCTTTATCAGGACAAGCCAACTTACTCCAGGTTTAGTATTAAAGGGGGGAGGGGGAACACCCCACGGGGGATGGTCTGTTAACGTGATTTTTAAAAAATCTGCTCTCTGCGTTTGCCTTGGCTTTTAAATTCTCGCTCCCCAACCAAAATCTAAACAAAGATTCAGGTTACATCCCGTTCTGCAGCAAGCAGAAAGGAAAGTGGAGGTCTCTGACTTGAACGTTTTAGTCTTTCTCTACAAAAGCGCATCTCCTCTGCATCTGAGGAACGCGACCGCTCGCCGGCAGCCCCAGGGCTGACTTACCTAGCGGTTCGCGCTCCATTTGAGAAAAGTTTTCTGATTAAAGAAGGAACATCTGAGCAGCACAAAAGCTTATGGTTTGCGACTAAATTTGAAATCAAGGCTACAAGAAAGACAGAAGTATGTTGCTAATGAGTATTGCTCTTTCATCTCATCCTAGACAGAATCTTAAGTCCTAGAAGCGGCCAGCCAGCTGCTGCGTCGAATTCTGGCAGCGTGGGGGTACTCAGATGCAGTCATTTAGTAGGATTGGACTGTGTGTTTGTTTAAACAGCTTATTTATAAATTTTACTTCATTACTTTTAGTGCATGAAGACGTATTTGGTAAGAGATTATGTTAAAATAATCTTATTTCCAAACTCACCCTTTTTAAGAAATAAGAGAAAAGTTTGAAGCATAAGCAATATAAGAATATCTGGGAGGGACTAGGGATGTGGCTCAGTGGTAGAGCACTTGCAGTGAGATGGTGGGTTCAATACCCAGCACCACAAAAAAAAATTATTTAAAAATTAAAAAGAGCATTCTGTATATGCTAGGTAGTTTAAAAAATATCTGTGAGTCTATTTCTTAAAGGCCTTAACAAAATTATGTAATAGTCCTTCAATTAGATATATATTATAAAAACATATATGCACTCACAAATAATTTGCTTGCCTTATTTGTGTAGAAGAGGAAGATGGGAATGATCTTGTCCCGACAGGTCAGTAGCAGGCTAGCAGGCGAGTGGATGGGGATAGACAGATTTTCCTGTGATGAAGTGAGCCAGTGTTAAAGAGTTTGGGGCCAAGAAATGTTTACAAATTTGGTTTTTCCTCAATTATATTTTTTTCTCCCATAAACACGAGGGTCTTTAAAGCATTTTCCTACAGCCATTGTTTTCCTTTTTCGGCAACTGTGCACAAGTTCATATCAGCCATCCCTCTACCAAGTCTTTTACCGGAGGAGTGGAGGGAGAAGAAAGCTCTGATTCACCTGGGACCCTGTAGAGAACTGAAGGATTGGGATGGACCGACTTCCAGAAAAGCTAACTTGTGCGTGAGGATCAGAAAGACTTGTGTTTTTCATCAAGTGAGAAATCAGGAATCCACATAATGCATTTTCCATGAGATAGCTCATTCACGAGATGGCTGGTCCGAATGGAAAGTGCAGGAGTTGGCGCCATCAGGCCGTGTATAGCACAGAATTGCATTTAAAGTGAAATTAAAAATGAGGTCCAGTTTGGAGATTTAATTATCGTATATTTGTGTAACCGTTTGCAAAGTACTATGGAGTGCTATTTGTCTACTATCAAGAATCACTTGCGTGGGTCATTTGGAGATGCCAAGAGCGCTAAAGCTGTTTGGGGGAAGTGGGGCGGGGGCGCTGGCGTTTATGCGGTCTTTTCACCCACCCTCGCCTAATCAGGCGGCTCTCAATCAGGTTTTCAAAATACTAATCTTGATCTAAGAGCTCCTATCTCTGCATAAGTGGAGGAAATGATTCATTTTTAGAGCCTTCTGGGCTTGGGAAAGGAGGATGGTCGTCAGACATAAGCAGAAGACCTAAAAGCCAGGACTGGCGTCTACTTTACTTCTGTCACTCTGCGGGACACGGACTTCTCCTGCGGTGTTAATTTCGTGCACCCCAGCTTGCTCGGTAGTCTACCGGGTGGTGAGTCATTTTCTGTATGGCGTGCGGTGTAAGCCTTTGGGTGAGGGTTGAATGTGGACGTGGGCGGGGGGGGGGGGGGGGGCGGGAAGGGCAGGTATTCCAAATGAAAGCTAGGGCTGATCGCCCCGCCCGTCTTGGGCCCAAGGACCTCATGACCCCTTGTGAGTGGCCAGTCTAAGAGGTATAGATCTTGCATAGAAGCCCAGCTCCTTGGAGTTGGCCTCACACTTCTTACCTACATTCCTCCTTGGCTTGGGCAAAGAAAAAGTTCACCTGCTGCTTTGCAGAGAATCTTTTCCCACTTTTAGGTACTTGGGCTAAAAACAGAAGGTATAAGTATGTGTGTATAATGTGTCTCTATCTTCATAATGAGAATTTTTAGCCAAAATTTCAATTCAGATCAATTTTGAACCAATGAGGACAGAACAAAAAACATCCCGTGTGTCTGCGGGTGGGAAAGGAATGAACATGGGATCTTGGTTCTTACCTACTAAATTGAAAAGTCTAGATGGTTACCTCTCCTCAAATGAATACCAGAGGTTGAAGGCCCACCCAGGGGGACTACCAACACCCCTGGACCACCTGGATCTTTCCAAGAAGGGGTGGGATAGAAGAGATAGCCAGAGGGACTTGCGAATATGTCCTGTCCCTGTCCCAGACTGTGAGGCTCTGGCGTAAACTGGGACTCCTGGAGTGTGCCTTCCTACAACCCGAGGGTAAGGAAAAGGGTC